TTTCGATATTGGCATATATCGGACCATCACTTCATGGATTATGACCCCTAATTGTACGAAAAATCATGTTTTAGCTTGTGGTCCCTCTAGAGGTCACAATTTTTATCCGATTGAAAAAAAAAAGTTTGAATATTTCACCGTTAGGGTCTACACCCTAATGACGACTGAGCTAGAATTTCGTGAAAATCGAACCAAAACTGCTGGACAAAATGGCCGTCTCTCGTACGCAAATATTGTAAATATATGGTATATATATATCAAGCTTGTGGACCCTCTTAAAGTCACAATTTTGATCCGATTTTGATGAAACTTGAAATATATCTTGATAACCCAAAGATCTTGGTTCCTGTAGCATATGGCCCTTGCTCGCACGAAAAATCGCTTTTTGTTTTAGCTTGCTCTTTATCCATCTCTTGCAAAATGTGGGCGTATCCTGCCTGGCAGCCGCTTGTTACAGCTTCAATTTGTACGTTTGACATGTAATTTGTAAACCTAACCCTAACTCTAGAGAAAGATATTTTCTAGATCTTACAAAGATATTGTGCACCATTCACTCTAGTAGCTACGGGGGGAGGTTGGATGGCCGAATGGTTAGCACGCGCGCGCTCTATCATAAGGCCTGTCATTGAGTAAGCTGGCGTGGTTTCGAATCCCCGGTTGTACGTGACAAGGAGCAGGGTCGCCTGTCCAACCTCGTGGGTTTTCTCCGGGTCCTCCGGTTTCCTCCCACTGCTAAAGACCCCTACGCACAAGCAAATTATTGAAATAAAATTAATAAAATGTTAGTCCCGAAATGACCTAGTTTGTGTCGAGTAGACTTAAACCCTCTCTCTCTCTCTCTCTCTCTCTAGACTTCTCGGGGAATCCGGTGGCATGCTCACCTGGAGATATTTTTGAATCTAATGCCATTTCCTGGACATTTAGAGGAGATTTTTTTAGAATTCTGATGGTCAAAAAACACTTATAACGTGAGTAAAATTGAGTACTACGCATGGGAATTCGTGTTATATATTAACAATTTTGAAAGAACGTACAAGGAACGGTGATTCTCTAACACCTTATGAAAGTGAACATTGGCATAAATTAGCAAAGATATGACTATGTACTCTACGTTTAGTCAAGCTTGACCACCGATCGGCGATTTTAACAATATCGATCGTGTCCGTAAGATCACGCAAGAGTCAATAGTCATTGGGGCGTTCCTGTTTCATTACTGAACGCATAATATATAGTTTTTTATACGCCCACATTGAAATGTGGTCGTATATTGTCGTCTCCGTCTGTCCGGCGTCCACAATTGCTTGTGGACACTCTAGAGGCTAAAGTTAATATCCGATTGACTTTAAATTTATACACAGTGTTTAAGGTCATGAGACGAAAAAGCCTATTGATTTTCAGCGATTTCCTATAATTACTGCCAGAGTTATGGCCCTTGATCACTTTAAAAAATCTTGTGGGCGCTATAGAGGTCAAAGTTAATATACGATTGACTTTAAATTTATACACAGTGTTTAAGGTCATGGGACGAAGAAGCCTATTGATTTTCAGCAATTTCCGATAATTACTGCTTGAGTTATGGCCCTTGATCACTTCAAAAAATCTTGTGGATGCTCTAGAGGCTCAAGTTAATTTCCGATTGACTTTAAATTTATACACAGTGTTTGAGGTCATGAGACACAGAATCCTATTGATTTTCAACGATTTCCGATAATTACTGCCCGAGTTATGGCCCTTGATCACTTTGAAAAATCTTGTGACGCTCTACAGACTAAAGTTATCATCCGATTGACTTCAGATTGGTAATTACTTCATGAGTTGTTACACTTAATTAGATTTTTGTGTATTATAAATGTTTCATTACCAAAAAAATTAAAAATATGCGACATTTGTTGACTGCGCGGACGATTTAGCTGCTGTGGGCGTATGTTTCGTTGCCTGGCAACCTATCTTACTAATTTGAGCTGTGAAAAACAGGTGCGTATTGTGATATCCAATCAAAGCAATCATACGTATACAAAGATATATTCATACATTATATTAATTATTTGGGATTTTCCCATTCTATTTTGGTATGGTTTACCAAATGCATAATTTTGAGACTCACTCACGTGATTACACTTATTTTAATACCAATTATTTTTTGTTACTGGGGTGTGCACCCCCCCCCCCCCCCCCACACACAAAAATATACCGAAGATATAGGTCCATGTAAATAATGTCATTACTATCACTTTCATCACTTCTCTAAATGTCCAAGAAATGGCATTAGATTCAAAAATTTCTCCAGGTGAGCATGCCACCGAATTCCCCGAGAGAGAGAGAGAGAGATGGGGTTTAACGTCCACTCGACACAAACTAGGTCATTTCGGGACTAACATATGGTATTAATTTTATTTCAATAATTTGCTTGTGCGTTGGGGTCTTTAGCAGTGGGAGGAAACTGGAGGACCCGGAGAAAACCCACGATGTTGGACAGGCTACCCTACTCCTTGTCACGTACAACCGGGGATTCGAAACCACGCCAGTTGACTCAATGACAGGCGCGCGAGTGTTAACCATTCGGCCACCCAACCCCCCGAGAAGTCTAGAACCTGCGGTGCTCGGCTCGTGTCTGTGTCACTCGTATTAGGGGTCTGCATCAGTCGGCCTCAATTTTGCTTAAACACCTCCGAAGCAAAATCGATATGTACACCATTTTGCACACACGGTGTCATATATATATCTGCCATTTAGAGAGAGAGAGGGGGGGAGAGGGAGAGAGAGAGAGAGAAATGGGGTTTAACGTCCACTCGACACAAACTAGGTCATTTCGGGACTAACATTTGGTTTAATTTTATTTCAATAATTCGCTTGTGCGTAGGGGTCTTTAGCAGTGGGGGGGGACTTGAGGACCCGGAGAAAACCCACGGGGTTGGACAGGCGACCCTACTCCTTGTCACGTACAACCCGGGATTCAAAACCACAAAATGAAATGAAATGGGGTTTAACGTCGCTACTGTTCTGCTCCTATGCTGGGCTAATGAAGACGGGCATACGCCATAGTGTGCTATGAGGGAAATTTTTCCCGGGCAGCGGCACTATCGCCTACTCTTATATCGGATTCCAACTGCCAAGGGATCTTTTATTTTACCTGCATTCTAATGTATAGGCCTACACGGGACCTCAGTTTTTCATATCATCCGAAGGACTAGACAGCTGTCCTTGTCAGGCCCTCCATCCTACATCACTGACAAGGGGGAACCACATTCGAAACCACGCCAGTTGAATCAATGACAGGTCTTATGATACAGCGTGCACGTGCTAACCATTCGGCCACCCCTGCCATTTATAAGCTGATCATGTTGCAACAAGGGTGGTTGAATGACTTAAAAGTTGAACATAAACACCCAATTGGGCAGTGGGCACACACTTCATGCGCTTATCAACAACGCACGCGGAAACGCTCACATTACATTTGAAGAGTCCAGGGGAAGAACTATCGAAGTCACATTTTTGTCTTTTCGCATAAAAGGCAAAACAGACTTTTGGACGAGAATGCTTGACGCGAACAGAACAACGGGAGGCCATTTCAGAAGGGCTAGTTCGATGTGACTCCGATCGTTTTTACCTGAAATTGATTGTTCCACAGAAAGCTTATACAATTTGCTACCAGATGGCGCCATTAACTGGGGTTCATTGAAAAGGTGACTTTGATCGTTCTTCCCTGGGGCTCTCCATTTGCATTAGACTGACTTTTTCGCCGGCGAAAACGCGAGTACATTCATGCCGCACGTTCCTTTTTCCAAAATTTGCTTTTCTCCATCTGACCTGTGACAGTGTGCGATGGTTCCTGTTGTGTGATGACCGTTTAGCGCATGTGCAGTTGTAGGAGTCAGCTCACACCGTTATCGACACGGTGTGCATTGACTCCCCGTGATAGGATTTCCCCTAAGATTTTCTTGCGGTCAAATAGGTTTCTAAACTATTATCTACCAATATTAATACAGTATTACTATATCAGTAGAGGGTGTCGAGTTGATACAGTTTGTTTATTTCGATAAAAAGTAGAAATACAAGTTGACTAAGGCGCAGAGCCTCGTTCAACATGGTGACTAGGCGGCGCCGCCGCCACGCACTGGCCAAACTGTGCCGCCTACTGAGCCCAAAAGATGAAGACTGGGCGGCAACATACATACGTTTTGAAAATCGCTGACAAGATTTTTCCCATGTCCCAATACTATATCATGGTGCGTAAGTTTACAAAATCGTCTTCCTGTTTGTTTTATGGGTATATTTCTGTCTGAGGGTCAGCCGCAGCAGTGTTTTGATCTCGATTTTACAGGGTATTAATCAATCCATGGTTTAACAAGATGCCAAAACTAATAGTGTATCAAATCTCCGAAACTATTTTTTAAGTGCTCAGAAATCGAGTCAAAGGGAGCCAATTTTCAAAATTTTCTGGGGGAGGGCCACCCACCTGCGGTGTTCAAGCGGCTCGCACCTACGGTGCTCGCGGGTCGGGCTTAGCCCGATAATGCGCGCACAACAAAATCATTAGACAAGGCTCTGCTAAGGCGAAGGCGCGGAATCACCAATAAAGTGAGTCGTAGCAATTCGCGTTGATGGAAAATCTCTGGTAGCGTGACGTATATAAACGGTAAATTCGCTTACATTTCGATAATTTTTTTGAGTCTGAATCTTTGCTGATATTGAGATTGATATTAAACTATTACAACACAATAGCCAGTAATACATTTAAATAAAATAGTAATTTAGAATCGTAGATTGAAGCGGGCAATATTTCAGCCGCTGGCTGTCAGATTTCACGCTAAAGTCACGTGACCTGAAACCCCTGTAATAAAACAGATAAGCCCTAGGATATATTGTGAAATTGTAAAAAAATTTAATAAGAAGTACAAATTAAAATAACAATGATACAGAGAAATCCCAATCATATAAAGGCCAATATTCAATGTACTAGGGGGTTGGATGGCTGAATGGTTAGCGTGCTCGCGCTGTATCATAAAGTCTGTCATTTAGTCGACTGGCGTGGTTTCGAATCCCCGGTTGTACGTGACAAGGAGTAGGGTCGCCTGTCCAACCTCGTGGATTTTCTCCGGGTCCTCCGGTTTCCTCCCACTGCTAAAGTCCCCTATGCGCAAGCGAATTATTGAAATAAAATTAAACCATATGTTAGTCCCGAAATGACCTAGTTGTGTCGAGTGGACGTTAAACCCCATTTCTCTCTCTCAATGTACTAAAACAACGGCAAACAAATCACGGACGATAGAACTATCAATTTCAAGCCAATCAACTTAGATCCGTTTATCGTGTAACTACTGATCACTAAAACAACAGCTAATCACGATAACAAGTACGTTTATTCATGACAAAACTCTAATCATATACGTAATACTTTTTTCTGAACTGATCAGTGATCAGGTACCATCTCACACCGGAAGTAGATATAGTTTGGTTGTTAACGCTAACAATAGTTTCGGACATGCGCAAACACAGGAGCAAACACACACCGGGAGTCAATTCAAACTGCCACACCTGCGGTACATAAAAATTCTCATGAAAGGCGATTAATGAATTAATAATTTACTATTAAATCTTCCATAAATAATTAAAGAGGCACAACATGAAATGAATGTTGTCGCCAGTCGGTAATCGATTTAGACAGGGTTTGACAAAATAGTCAGATAAGGTCACTCAAATTAGATTTGAAAAATTGACGTTTTAACGGGTTTTTTTTAGTATTTATTTGATAAAAATGTTACACTTACAAGAGCCAGGAGGAAAAAAAAAACGCCCACTAAAGTAAGCGATTGTTTAGATAATAACACGAATCTAAGGTAATTTTTAATAAATAACTTGATCGATAAAGCGGTTTTACCACTTAAAATAAAAGATTAATTATTTACTTTGCGGTGTTGAATTTTGAAAATAACTATATTGGTCTGTCCAGGCCCTGATTTGAAAGACCGTTCCTTTCGGTAATCATTTTACATGTCATCAGCGTATTATAATATTTCATTACTAAAAATCTAGGCCTACTTCCTGTATACTTTTCTATTGTTTACTTGCAACGGCCTTGGCGACATAGCTATATTTACTTTAGAAAGCAATACAATTTTCAAAGAGTGCATGCATGCAACATGAATCGCGATTTACTTAATGAAATGAAATATTTTCAAGCCGCAGTATCACGACAGCAAAGTGTCTGTTATCCCATTGGTTAATAAAAGTGATTGGCAGTTCTTCGGAACTAGGTTAACCACGCCTATAATATGTTGTAAGATGGCGCCTCTCATCACGAAAAGGAAAATGATCTCCACTATAGTAAGTTGATAGTCGACCTAAAGAGACTTTTAATAACCGATCTACCTCGCAGATTGATATGAATCGAAAGGACATACAGGGGGAACAATTGTGTAAGGGACTCGAGTTTCCTAATTTTCTCTGTAACTCCCTTCGTTTTGCGGAGTTGCCTGCATTTCGAAGGACGATTCATTGAGAATTTACAATGTAAAGAAGCGAAGCAATTTGTGACCGGGATAAGACGGGTACCTTTCTACCTCATGTACCAACGCGCTAAATGGCTGCATTTTCCGACTCGTTCGGTGAACAACTATCTTGTCCTTTGTGTTTGAACCGATTTGACGATCCACGTGTGTTGCCTTGTCTGCACACGTTTTGTAAAAAATGTCTCGAGTCGGAAATCAGGACAGTTGGGGCGAATGTGAACTTGAATTGCCCCACATGCAATCAAACCGCCCCCCTGAATTCGCGAGGAATCGAGCACTTTCCATCGAATTTTTTCATCAACAACATCATAGATGTTATGGTAACGACTGAAGAAGATTTTGAAAATGGTGATTTATCAAATACTCGAGAGAATAATTTCGGGAGGTGGTGTAACTCTTGCGATGAAGGTAGTTCAGCTTCTTCAATATGCAAGAACTGTAATGAGTATTTGTGTAATAACTGTGTAAAAGCACATCAGAGAGTTCGACTCACTAAAGACCACTATATAGAACGTATTCATAATGGCAAATTTCATTCTCCTACAATACCAGCAGCACCATCACCCATCTTACATAATATTTCATCGGACAAACCAGTTAATTATTGTGAAAAACATGAATTAGAAGTTTTAAGATTATATTGTGATACTTGCATGCAACCAATATGTCGAGAGTGTACAATGACTGATCATGTTGGCCATAGTTTTATCTACCTCCAAGATGCGTTAGAAAATTCCAAAACTATAACCTTAAAACTTCTAGCTGATGCCAAAGCAGGTATTAAAGCAATTGAAGATAGCATTCATTTAACTCAGGGTATGGGAGAGAGGGTGGAAAACCGTGCACAATCAGTGGCAACAGAAGTAAGTACAACGACAAGACGCTATATGGCAGCCCTAGAAGAACGTGAACATGACCTTCTGCGTCGCATAGAAAAAATAAGGCAAGTTAAAGCAAAGTCTTTGCATTCTCAAGTTGATGAATTGAAAGTTGGACTGTCATCAATTTGTCAGACTGTAGATGAAGTTGAAAAAATGTTAAATACGGGTAATGACCTTGACATCCTCAGAACCAAAGACAAAATGGTTTCAGAAATTCAGAATATGCGTCATTTGCGAGGTCATCTCGAACCACATGAAGATGACAGTTTGGTATTTACACCGCCAGATACTGCCCTATATAATGCTATCGGTAAACTTGGATTTATAAGTAGCAGTGCTTGTGCTTCCAATTGCATTGCAACAGGAGATGGGTTAAAGCGAGCTCTGAAAGGAAAATTAGCAGTTTTCATTGTTCATACAAAGGATCATCACAGCGAAGCTCGAGTGGTTGGGGAGGATCCAATTGATGTCCTTATTCAAAGTCCAGAAGGAGCCATATATAGAACAGAAGTAATTGATCGTCATAACGGAACTTATACTGTTACCTATAGACCACAGACAGAAGGAAAGCATATTATATCTGTGACTATCAGAGGTAAACATATTAGAGACAGTCCTTTCACTGTCACTATCAGAAATGGTCGAAATTATGCCATGGTGGGTCCATTGATACATCAGTTCAGCTCAGAAGGGGATGGAGATGGGCAGTTATGTAGACCATGGGGTGTATGTTGTGATAGAGATGGCAATATTATAATAGCAGATCGTAGCAACAATCGCATACAAATATTTAATCAGGATGGATGTTTTCGACACAAGTTTGGATCTGCGGGTTCTAGAAATGGTCAATTTGATCGACCAGCTGGTGTAGCATGCGATTCTCAGGGACGTATTATAGTTACTGATAAAGACAACCACAGAGTCCAGATTTTTACCAACACTGGTAATTTCATATCAAAATTTGGAGAAAAGGGTAATAAAAATGGACAATTTAATTATCCATGGGATGTAGCTGTAGGTCCAGAGGGACGCCTGATTGTCTCCGACACCAGGAATCATCGTGTTCAACTTTTTACCTCAGAAGGCCAGTTTATCAATAAGTATGGTTTTGAAGGACCGTTATGGAAGCATTTTGATTCTCCCCGTGGTGTTGCCTTTAATAACGATGGTCATATCGTTGTTACAGATTTCAACAATCATCGTCTGCTTGTAATTCATTCAGATTTTCAATCTGCCAGATTTCTTGGCACAGAAGGTAGTGGTAATGGCCAGTTTTTGAGACCCCAGGGTGTGGCCGTTGATCAGGAAGGAAACATTATAGTGGCTGACTCAAGAAACCACAGAATTCAGGTATTTCAACCAAATGGCAATTTCTTGTGTAAATTTGGAAGTCCAGGTTCAGGGCCTGGATATATGGATAGGCCATCTGGCTTGTGTGTTACTCCAGATGGTTTGTTAATTGTGGTTGATTTTGGAAATAATCGCATCCAGGTATTCTAAATAATCCTCTGGGAACTATTTTACAATATTAGAACTACAATCAGGTGTAGAGAACTTATTGTTAGACTTTGAATAACTTTGTAAAATAATAAGAGTCAACTTTTTTCTTTGTTTCTTGGCATCAGTTCTTGTTGAGAATGACCTTCACTTTACGCTCAGGCCAGAATGCAGAATTGCAAGTTCTCAGGTAATCTAGTTTGTGACGCCAAAGGCATCTTTAATGCTCAGGGATTTTTAATATTAAGTAATTTAGTTCCCGTGTCTCAAAGAGCCACTTCTTGATTTTGAACATTTAATTTTTGTTTTAGCTTCCAAATGCTAATATGATTATTTTTATGCTTGGACACACGTCTGCTATTTTTTGTCACAAAGTGTTTTGTTGACTTTAAAAATGAATAGTATTTGTGAAATTGTTATTATTATAAAATCGTACACACATGTATTTCAAACTTCATGTGGATAATGTTTTATGGAGTGCTTTATACATGAGCCTGCTCTGCTTATGTCCAAGACTTGAGATATAAGTATAATTTGTAAGATATATATAGATATATACACACCTTTTATTATACCATACAATATCACAGATATTTAAGGTACTTATAATTAAACACATTGTATTTTATTTGTAAAACATTATAATACATTACAAGCCTTTTCATTCCTGTGTAAAAGGTCATTCCTTACAGATCAGGTGACCGAATTAGTTTTAGTGATATACTTAATAGCTAATATATATCTCTACCTCAGGAATTTCATATTTAGTCAAGAAAGGAAAAGTAAGTTGATTAATTATAATGAACACACTATATTATTATGTAATATTTAAAGTATTTGTTTGCAGCATATTAGAATGGCAGCTATTCATTGTCATTGTTACAAATAAACATCTGATGTTTTGCAACTTCCACACAATACACCTATCACCTTAGTAAAAAGACACATAATGTATTTTGATGCAGATTATGCATTTGTTTGGAATTCTAATGGATAGATGGCTTAAAAAGAGACAACTTCATTGAATTAGGTGAAATTTTATTTAAAGTACAAATTTGATATGTTAAATCTTTTTGTGAGATGAGTATGCAAAAATTATTAAACACTCCAACTTTTTCTTACTTTGCTAAAGTGAAAATTTAATCAGATGGAATTTGTCCCATTACTAATCAAAATCAAACATCAGATTAACCCAATTCAACACTTTGTTTTGACCTAAATTAAATAGGTCATGTGCCTTTAAGATAGGCCATGGACCAACCATAGGCTTGATAAATAGCAGAAAGTTTAAGTTGTACATTTTTGCATCAATCCAATTTCATGAAAATAACAGTAACTGGAGAATCTTAAAGATCTTTGTTACACAAAGATGAAAGCCAGTGCAGATAAAAATTCAGATCAAATTTGACAATTATTCCATTATGCTCTATTCCCTTTGTAAGAATTATATTGACCCCAAATTATGTCAAATACAGTATACCTCTGTGTCTGTACCGTGTAGATAATTGTAGGGTTAGGCTATTGATACTTTAGTTTGACACAAATTATATGTCAAAATGCTTTATGTGTCTTTAAAATTTAAACATTATAAATGTTATCCATCAATAAAACCAGTATTTTATAATATTGGTTTTTATTACATGTATATAAATCAGATGTTAGACATATTTTGACAATTTTTGGCATTTTAGTTGAAATCAGATTTTGCCTACATGTTTGCAAATGGCAGGATTTATGTACCTTACATGTATATATTATATATGGAGTTATGACATTTACTCACTTTCTGCACAGTTTTAATGTGGTGCGCCAGTTTGACTTTGTCACTAGACAATATTGTTTGTAATTATTAATCATATTTATGTACTATGTAAAATGCGGGTATGGCTTACAGCTGAGCTTCTTTGTTAGCAAGTAATCACCATTATTATAATCTAATGTAAAATGAGAAAAAAAATGAAAAAAAAAATGTTATGAACCTTGTAAAAATAATTAGCTTTGTCAATGTATTTGTAAATTATCTGGCTTTTGCCTGTGGTATTAATATATATTAATATGGACTACCTCAATAAAATGTTAAACTGTTGGCTATTGGTGGCTGGTAGCTCATAAATAAATACATTGATTAATATTGATTAATATATATATATATATATAAAATGTATGAATGTATGTAATTTGACGTGCTTGTAATGTGATATACAGTAATGATAATGCTGCTATGCAGCTGACCATTGTTTTTGTGTTTTTGAAAAAAAATTGGCTGTAAAATATAGGTTCCAATAATTAAAGATTAAAGAAAGTTATGAAACTTTAACGTACATTATGCAAGAGCTAAATCTGCCTTTTGCAGGTCTTTCTTTAGGCCTGAAATGTTATATAAACTATTAATTAGACATTTATTAACAAAACAAGACCATAATCAACTCTGGATGGCATTGGATACTCAAGATTTTAACTACCGGTAGATTAGAACAGTTCGCCATTTAAGAATTTAATTTAAAAATGGGAAAGCGAGGCTAAGTCTCGAATATACCAGTGCCCTGGTTACCACAATTCACACATCTTGTCAAAACTACAAACAGTAATAACTTGGCTCAGAATGAAGTAATTTGAATGAAATTTTCATTTTACATTATTTATTTTTGAGCTATTGTAGCAAGAATGGTCAATTCTTTATCTAAATCTTACATAATGTATCTTTAAGTACCAGTAATTAATTCAATATTTTAAATGTGGCATGTAACTGTACATACACATGTATGTAAGGTACATTTAGAAATGAATATTAACATAAAATATACCATAATAATTTATAGTTTCTTTTCCAATGTAATTAATAGCTAACCAGCATCTTTAATAAAATGATATAAGAAAATAATTCACTTATATTATTGTAAAATCAAAATTTAAAAAATATCTTTAAAATTTACTTATTTGATTTAAATATTAGCTCATGAGATGAAAGAGATGCAAGACTGGTAATTATTTTCAAAGTAAACACTTAAGTGATTAAACTGATTTGGACAAATTACATGTAGGTGAAATTAGAGTGGAAATTGTTCAGTATGCTAATGAATACTTATAATGAGTACAAACCTCTTGTATTGGAAATGAAGTAAGGTTGAACTGGTTGTTACAACTGTAATTATGCACTCATGTTTAATTAATTGTTCACAATGTTGTATTGTGTGAATCGGGAATGAATAATTCATCTTTTGAATAGGTCAGTGATGATGGTGAATGGAAAACTCTGCCTCAAAGATGCCTAATTTGCAATAGGCAATAATAATAAATGTGATACAAGAGAATTTAAGGTGCTGGGCCCTTATTCACGAAAACTTAACTGAGATAAAATCCAAATTTTAGTAATTTGATTGGATAATATTAGATTGATTTTAGTGCTTAGCCAATCAAAATTGAGGTATCTACTAAAATTTGGATTTTATCTTTAGTTAAAATTTCGTGAATCAGGGCCCTTGTTTGAATTGATGATGGAATTGACTGTTTTGAAGTAAAGTGTTATATATTAATGAAATGATCTCAAAGCATGTACATCTAGCTGCTTATGCAAAGCGTTATCAATTTATACAAATCAAGTAGAAATTCTTTCATTATTTTTGGACCCCTAATGGCATTCTGTCTGAAAAATCAATGGAGCTCATTATTTTACCGCATCCAGACATATGAGTATACATGTATGTAAATCGAACAATGTTAGACATGCACAACTTGATATACATGTAGTATGTATTTGTTACAATGCATTGATTTTCAAGTTCAGTATGTCAGTTGTGTGATCTCTTTGCCATGAAATTTTCAGCTTTATTGTTTGCTTAGAGCAAACAATTGTCATTTCACTGATGGAATTACAGTGTTTTGTATTTATAAGTTGTTCATTGTTTTGTGTACATGTGATAGATCAATTTTTTTTAATCAAATTCCGTGCATTCTAGCTTCATCATTTGTAGGACATACATGTACATGCAGCACACATCCAGTTATTGGGACTGTGTAGTAAAGAATTAGACATGGTATCAGGAACCATTCAAAATGGCAGAAATACTTTTGTTTTGAAAGAACAATGAATTATTTCATACAAAACATCAAAATGTCAGACTTCTGACAGACTCTTTGATTGCAGATGGCACAGTCATTCTTGCAAACCCTACACAGTCCTCATAACTTAATGGCAGCAAAGAAAAAAACAAGTGTGTGGTACTTTGTACATTCTTGTGTGTATTAAGTATAAAATTTATTTTAAATGTTGATTGATTGCATGTTAAATAATATTTTTAGCTAAATAACAATATTTGGTGTAACCAGTGGTAAAAGATAAAAAGCAGTCAAAGACTCACTTTTTTTCGATGCCATGTTTTTCTTCATGTATTGTAATTGTAATTATTGAGTTGCGCCGTAAAACGGAGAAGAAATACATCTTGGCGTCTAACGCATATTTACATTTTCATCTTATTGTAAAATATTTTTTTTTGTTAATTGTTTTTCTTTAAAATACCTTTTTGCCAATTCAATTGTGGAATTGTAACTATATTATATATGTTTATGTTATTAGTTATTTCATAGTTTGTGATTGCGTCTCGGTGATTTTTTCATAATTGAATAGAACTGCAAGTACATGTATTTGTAGAAGATAAGGAGAATATTACACTCATTTCTTATGGATAGGTAAAAAAAAATAAGTATATTCATATTGTTCTTTCACGTTAATGAATAAAATGAATTGAGACAAAATGTTAATATAAGAATAATCTTTATAATTTATTGATTTTAGATTCTTGAAAATTAAATAGATTAACAAATAAAATTAATTATTTAAAATTAAGTTCATTTGAAATTTAAATAAAACTGTTAAATTTATTATGAATTGTGTATAAATTTTTAATAAAGAATATAATCAACATCCTGAACATTAAGAATAATTTTGACCAATTGTAAATTAATAGCATGTACCACTCATTTAGGTGTACAAACTTATTATAATTATATTAAGGTACACATACATGCTTAATATCTAAACACTATTTGTGTGTATGAATTAACCCTTTATCACTTGGTACATATAAATACTGACTACCCTGGTTCTTTGAAAAGTGATATACATGTACATGTATCCCTGTCAGGTCTGAAACTTCTTCTACCTATAGACTGCCTCAAAATTGTCAGTCATGTGAACAGCTTCTTTATTGTAGAACTGCTTATCAGTTCTTGGGAGCACCACCGATATTCACTTGACTGTTTTGAGACTCTCTAAGGAATACAACTTTGGGTGATCCAAGTGCTAAAGGGTTAAATAGTCTTGTCTATAAAGTTTGTCCCAAGCTAAATTTTTATCCCTTATATTTAGTACAAACCTAACAGACATAGTTGAAAGTTCCAATAATTTTATGACTTTGAATTAATGTAGAACTACTACAACCAAGATCCAAATTATTTGAATTGATACCAATTTAATATTTTTTAAAATGTATGTGTTTAAATTGGTAAGGGAAATTTTAAGAGAAATTTTCTTTTGCATTGTTATACACGTATCTAAATGCTTAATATTAGCAAAAATAATGTTACTGTATTTACATTTTTCTTTCAAATTTAGTTAAGATATTGACATGCTTTTTCTTTTTAAGCTAAGGCATTAGTGTTCCTTTTTTTGATTGTTTTTTTTTTTTGTTTTGTTTTTTTTTGGATAAACACATGTTTATATAACAAGTTTATTGGTTTGATTTTGTAGATTGATAGATTTTTCTCTTTTTCTTTTCATAGAGATATATTTGTGATGTAAATGTAGATAATCTTGTAGATCCTTTAATAATATACAAAATGACTTGTAAACTGACATTATATATATATATATATATATATATATATATTCACCTGTTTTAATAGAGATAGATGTAATCTTTCTAGCTGCATTCAATGCACTTTAAACTTATTTTTAAACAAAGTTACTTGATTCTGGCTAAAGCCAATTAAAGTTTATTATGTGCTATTTTATGAAGAAATTACTCAAAAATAATTTTCTTTCATTCTATTTCCACATTGTTGGCTAATTTGTAGAGAAAAAAAACTGCAAAGCAGAGTTATTTTTATTTCTCTTTAAAAAACCAGAGTGCTGTTAAATTGGTAAAACCTCACTCGGAAATTAAGTTCAAAACTTGATATGTACAAAAACCGCTCAATACCTCAAGATATACATGTACTATGTTACATAACACATATTTGTCAGGGCTTTTTGCAAACACTTAGTTTAGGATTAAAACAATTAATTGAATATTGATTTAGAGTTAACTTATTAGTGTCCAGTTATCAAAATTGGCTGTTTAAAATGTCTTTTTATGTAGAGCCAATATGTTTCTTTATCTTTAAATTGTGCACATTCAGAAGTGGCACATTTCTTGTATTAGATTATTCCGATTTACTTTCTACAAAGGTTTGTTAATATATGTATAATTATAGTAGTGGTGGATGTGCATGCACAGTTCTGAGAATGCTTACTTTTTTCAAAACACCCTTTACCTCCCTTTTCCTCTGGGATTGGTCTATAGACTTAAAATATCATTGTCCTTAAGGATCTGTGCCACTATATTATGAAATGTTTTATTTCTATAGTTTTTATATACGCCCACATTGAAATGTGGTCGTACATTGTCGTCCGATAATTACTGCCATAGTTATAGCCCTTGATCACTTCAAAATATCTTGTAGAGGCTAAAGATAATATCAAATTGACTTTAAATTTATACCCAGTGTTTAAGGTCATGAGACGAAGAAGCCTATTGATTTTCAACGATTTACAATAATTACTGCCAAAGTTATGGCCCTTGATCACTTTGAAAAAATCTTGTGACGCTCTAGAGGCTAAAGTTAATATCTGATTGACTTTAAATTTATACACAGTGTTTAAGGTCATGAGACGAAGAAGCCTATTGATTTTCAGCGATTTCCGATAATTACTGCCAGAATTATGGCCCTTGATCACTTTGAAAAATCTTGTGGACGCTCTAGAGGCCAAAGTTTATATTCGATTGACGTTAAATTTATACACAGTATTTAAGGTCATGAGACAAAGAATCCTATTGATTTTCAGCGATTTCTGATAATTAATAATAATAATGTAATGAAAGCGTCTGCATTCCAGTAAAAATTATTGCTCCGCGGCGCTATTACATTTTGTAAAAATGGTAGATGCAGAATAAATAAAAATGAATTATACATATAATCACGGTAAATTTAAGAAATATGAAGTTATCAAAATGACAGCGCAAGCATTATATAAAACTTAGTTTTACAGAATCTTGTAAATTAATTTATTTCGACTGTTAATATTTGATTCAATAACTTTTGATTGTGTATGCTTGTTGTCCCTTTTCATGGTCGTTATATCAGTGTTAATATTCATACATGTAGTTTTATCTGAATTAAATGAGGAAAACACCATAAGATAAACTATACTATATTTACAATTACATCATAAAATATTTTCCATTATATATTTAGTTCTTTATAGTGCTGTTGCATCATTATAAATAAAATCGTGATTAAAATTAATTTTATTCATAATTTTGACAGCTGTAACTGGACATAATATCAGATTTACCTGGTATTGACCTAGGAACAAGGTAAATGTAGATTCAGGGATGGGACATGTCAGAAATTGATTTATGATTTAGTCAACCTTTACCTAACCTCAATTTTTATTGTATTTTTGTACGCCCACATTTTCATGTGGACATATTGTGGTCACCCCTGTCCGTTCGTCCACAATTTGTTGGTGGACATTTACAGGTCACAATTCTTACCCGATTTTGACAAAACTTGAAATATAGTTTTATCTCCAAAAGATCCCAGTTCATTGCAATATTGGCATGTATCAGATCGAAACTTCAGGGATTATGGTCCCTGGTTTTACGAAAAATCACCTATATAGCTTGTGATCACTCTAGAGGTCAAAATTTTCAACTGATTTACACCATAATTTTGGTTGAGTTCAAATTTCGTGAAAATCGGACCCAAACTGCCAGACAAAATGGCCACCCCTCATACACAAATAGTGTAAAAAATATGTTAAATCAAGGTTGTGGACCCTCTAGAGGACACAATTTTGATAAAACTTGAAATACAGTAAACTTCGCATATGTCAGATCTAAGTGGACTGACCAATTTTATCCGAGTTAATGGATTCAAACACACATTTCAAGCTTTTGTTCACACGTGCAAGTAAATAACTTCCATTTTGTCGCCATCTTTGAAAATTGTCCTAAATTTTCCTGGAAAGTGTCTCGACAGCAGACAGAGAGTTTCGAATTTTCTGGGAAAATTCTATTATTGCGTCGCGTCAAATGGGCTGATTTGAGTCAAAATGATAGGGGAAAGTATTTTGGAGCTCTGTGCATGGAATAGCTAACCATGTTTTAGACCATCGAGACAAAACTGACTTAGTCAAATTCTGAACATACTGCGGATCCGACTTAGGTGAAGGAAAAAAAGCGGAATTAGATCAAATGGACCGAACATTTTGATCCGAGTTGAGCAAAGATCCGACTTAGGAAATCCGACTTCCCCACAGAAGTTTAATAAGAATAACGTGCAGGATCAAAGGGTCCAAACGAATTTATACGAGTTGAGCAAAGATCCGACTTATACGAATCTGACTGATGCGACGTTTACTGTACATGTTCATAACCCAAAGATTTTAGTTCCTTTTGATATTCTGCTGATCTGATCAGAATTTTTAGCTTGTGGCCCCGCTAGAAGTCAAAATTTGTATTCATTTTTGAAAAATGTTTAAATATATATCATTGTTGCACATCAATGAAGGTTGAGTTTGAATTTCATAAAAATCTGACCCAAACTGCATGTCAAAATATACGGAAATAGTGTAAAAGTATGTAATACCAAGGTTGTGGGCACTCCAGAAGTCACAATATTTATCCAATTTTGATGAAACTTAAAGTATATCTCTATATCCCAAATATCTCGGTCCATTTCGATATTTGCGCATTTCAGGCAATAAATTCCTGCATTTTGGCCCCTGATTATATGAAAAATCCCGTTTTTAGCGTGTGGATCCTCTAGAGGTCACAATTTTTATCCGATTTTAAAAAAGCGTTTGAATGTATCACCGTTACATCCTAATGGCGGTCGAGTTCGAATTTCGGACTGAAACTGCCTGACAAAATGGCCGCTCCTTGTACATGTGCACAAATAGTGTAAAAGTATGTAATGCCAAGGTTGTGGACCCTCTAGAAGTCACAATTTTTATCCGATTTTGATGAAACTTAAAATATATCTTTCTATCCCAAATATCTCAGTCCTTTTCGATATTCACACATTTCAGACCATAACTTCCTGGATTATGTATGGCCCCTGATTTTACGAAAAAATCCATCTCTTGCAAAATGTGGGCCTATCTTGTCTGACAACCGCTGGTTTAACAAGGAATGATTATATTACTGTTACACTTAAATAATTAAATAAATACCTCTTTATATATTCTTAAATTCCTTTGTATAACCCGTTGGATATCTATCCCTGATTTGAGCCAAGTTGTACCTCATTTTATTGTTGATTAGAACCATATGTGTATATTTTATTTGATAATTAATTGAATAATAAAGCAGGAATTTTTTTCTGACAGGATATTGAATGGACAGAGAAAACCAAATT